TTTGCCACTCTGCAACTCCCTCGATTCTTCTCTTAGCACACAAAGTCAATCTTATAGCAAATCAAGCAACCATTTCCTGTTAAGATCAAAAGAACACAGAGTTCCTACTTTGCACAAGTTCTTTTTAGACAACCACCACGTAAACTTTCATTTTACCTTTTGATTCTAAACCAAATCTAACTTCTTCTTTTTTCTCAAAAAAATCCCAAACCTATACTTAAATCCATTAACTTTGTGGCAATTCTTCTCCATGCTCAAATCCCCACCAAACTTCAAACATAATTTACCTTCTAATATCTGAAAATAAAACAAGAAAATTTCAGAAAGATCAACAAATAAAAGATCCTCAGGAGCTATCAAAGTCTTTAGATCTATCGTCATGGCCACCCACCTTGATGGAGATCTTCAAAATCACAATCCATATCTATCAAGACACAGCCATTTTCTTCCGTGGACCAACCGATCATGATACTAGATTTGTCGACCAACAACAAGATGTTGGGTTCTGATGGGCCCAAATTTCTAGGTTCCAAGAGGCCCAGATCTCACGACACAAGGGAAAAAATAAAGCCTAACCATCAGATATAGGTAAATCTGATATCCGTAGATTTTAAATTTGTTTGGATATATATTTTATTTGTATCTGTGAAGAATATTAGGTATGAAAAATTGATATATACTAAGTATTAAGTAAGTATTAGATATAAGGATTAATATTTACATACTTAACTTATATATCTAAGTCATATACCCAATATATAACTGACTTGTATATTTAATAGGGTGGTGTTATAGGGACTATCTTTTTATCTCACTTTTTTATACAACTTTCATATGCTATTAAATGAGTTGATACATTCAATATCACGGGTCTTACATGAATTAAAAAAACTAATCATTTTAATGACACGTCAGGTTGTACAAAAAGATGAGATAAAATAGTTGTTCCAATAGCATTTCCCTATTTAATATGTATATCTGACTTATATACTTAATATATATTCTAATTTTATATAATTAATTTGTAATATAATGTTATGAAATTAAAATGTATATTTTTTCTTTTCTTTTCTTTTGCTATTGAAGATTTAATTGAAGGAAAATCATGTGAATTTTTACTTGTATTTCTTCTGTTATTACATGTAAAAACTTATGTATGTGTGAGTGTATATGCTGACGTATTTTGTTTTATATATAAACTTGTATTATATGTATGAACTTGTGGTTGTATATTAATTTATGTATTTTTAATATAAAATTTTTATGGGTATACTAGTACCCAATAAATTGAGTAACGGATGTAAATTTTCAATAGCTAAATAAATATTGCGTATTAAAATTATATACTTATTATTGTTCAAATCAAGTACATGTATAGGCAAATACTTGACCCATATCTACCCATGCTCACCCCTAAGAAAATCACAGAACTTAGATCTAGGTTTTGATGAACTTAGATGCTGGGTTTGCATCTGGATTTGAAGGAACACAGTCGCTGGGTTTCGAAGATCTTGAATTTTTAGGTTTAAAGGAACTCAAATTTGAGGCTTGAAAACTGGCCTTTTTCGGCATCTAAATGGTTCGATACAAAATTTTAGTACTTTTGGGTAGGGTTAGTCAACAATTTGAGTCCCACCAA